TGTCAGCTGTAACTGAATTATGTCCTTATGTAAGCTGTAACTGAATTATGTCCTTATGTCAGCTGTAACTGAGTTCTGTTATAGGGTTGGCATGTCGATCCACTTTTGTCTCCTGAGGCAGCTCGTGTGCCGGTTACTTTGAGAATGTGTGAAGAAGGTGTACTTGAAGCTTTTGTTGAAGATGTCATTGAAGGCCTTCGCTACCTCGGCGAAAACCCTACCAAAACAACAAAGACCTCGGCGTTCTATCACATGTTGCAAACGGTAATACATTTTCATTCATTACCATGACTTTCTAATTAGCTGCAGACAGTGCGTGCCCGGGGCAGGAAAAAGTTCCTTAGTATCCATTACTTTCTTAGTATTCTATTGCTAGAAGCTTTTTGATGCGGAACGGTTAACACAGGACATGATAATTGCCCTACGAGAGTGATAGCTCGTAAAACAGTTCAGTCTTGTTCGCTGTCTATGCTGGGGCATTCCAAGAAGGCTGGGCTTGGCGCGGCGCCAGTCTGTTCTCCACCAATTGTGGCACACGACCACAGTTGGTAGAGAACACTTGACGCTGCGCCACCCCCCTCCCCACTCCTCGAAACACCCCAACTTGAACATCGATCAAGACTGTAAATTCCTGAAGCCCCTATACATCTTTCAGCAGGCAGCTTTGAGATGTCGAGAATCGTAAGTAAGTGAAAGAAAGCGTACCACCGCTCTACTCGAATGAAACGAGAGGCCCGCCACGGTCAGTCTCCGCCTACTGAGGTCGGCCTCCACCCTTTCCATTCCCCAATATAAATATGCTGTGCTGTTTTGCTCGCATTATTCGCTGTTTTTTAGTACAGTGCTTAGATATAACGGAGATCTTGATTAAGGCTTTTCGGCGGTGCCTGTCTTCTGGCTTTTTTTCACTGCTCAGTCTTCTACTGAAATTCCTTCTCCTTGTGAACCTCACTGCCAATGATTTCCAGTCAAAGCCTGCGCCTTTTGAGTAATGCATTGAATGGTTTTTCAGAGATAATTAGTTTTTGCTTCCTCTCTTGCTCATAACAGAAATCCTATGCTTCAGGTAGCGGATCGTTGTCTTGTGGATGAGCTATCCTTGATTCGACTGCAGGCGCACTATAGTATTCCACCCCCACTGGACCGCGAGCATCGTTCAGTACGTGCGCTGAGCGAATACGGCCGAAAAATGAGCACATTGGAGAGAGATGGTTCGAAATTGTCGTCAGAGAAGATGCAGTAGGAATACCCTGCTTATTGTTGAGGTTCAAAATAGTCGATATTATTAGTATTCGAATTTTGTGTGATAACTTGGAGCTCTCACAATCTATTGTACAGTTCATTCTGTTAATAATTCTGCTTGTTTACACCAATTATCATTCTTGAAA